TAATATTGGATAGTGCATTGTTCAACAATGCAAATTTTCATAGGGAGGAGATAAGAAAAATATTTATTTAACATATATAGGGTTTCTTCTCTAATCTGCTTTCATAATGTAAATGAGGAATGATTGAACCTAATGAAATTAAATTTTACTATTAATAAGGGTTGGTTTAATCTTTTAAAAATTGGTTGGAGATTATCGAGAGATATGTGTTTTATTAGTGTAATTATCCCCGTCGATCCTTATTTAAAATCAATGCAGATCACTCATTTTTAAAAGAATCACGAATTAATGTTTAATCATACTAATACTAAAACTGGCAAAATATATTGCAATCATGAAGTTTCCTAATATGCCATTTAATTCTACTTTTAATAATTTTTGGTCTTACATTTATATTTTTGGGAGGGATTAAAAGAATTTGCAAGAAAAAAGTAGATTTTAGGTGACTGCGCTATAGTAATAGCAAAAAATTTTCAATTTTTTGGTCAGAAGGACTTATGGTTGCATTTACAAACCCGAGTCGAGGGTCAGATCAAGTGATTCATTCTATCGGAACCTTACTTGTGCTTGATACCGTTTGCAAGCAGTGTATGTATATATAGAATTCAGCTATAATGAATCTCTCTTTTTCTCTTTCCTTTTTCGATCGCTTGTTAATAATTATTATTATTATAAAAATAAGATGCGTGACACGGAAAACTTCAACCTTTTATTTGTGTAATAAACAAAAATTTACCTTTTTTCTTTTTTAACTTTTTTAAACCTTTTTAATCCACATTTCATTTTATAAAATATTTTTTCACTACATTCAAATAAAATGGCACTTAAACGTATTCAAAAGGTAATAAAATGTTATTAAATGACGAAATTATAAATTATAACTTTGCATTTAAAATTTATTTTTGTTGTTGACAGGAACTTGCAGAAATCAGTAGAGATCCACCTGTTGGAATTAGTGCAGGACCTACTGATGACGACTTATTCAAATGGACTGGTAATGTTTTATTTCTTTATTTTTTTTCTTTTTGCGATTTCATTTTCGCTGCCTACATTTATCAATATTTATTCTTTAATAGCCACAATTTTAGGACCTGTAAGTAATCTACTATATATATGTATGTAAAAGATATTTGTATTTTTATATATTATGTATTTATTGTTTATTGTTAATTTATAGGCTTCTAGCCCTTACAAAGGTGGAGTTTTTAAACTTAGGATTGAATTTTCACACGACTATCCATTTAAATCGCCATTAGTAAGTTTTTTTATATATTTCAGATTAATAAACAATGGTAACAACAACAATTATCTTATTTATATGTTTATTTTATATTTCTATAGGTTAAATTTATTACTAGAATATACCATCCAAATATTGATGATGATGGTTCAATTTGCGTTGATTTATTGAAAACTGATGTCTGGAAGCCATCAACAAAAGTTACACATGGTAAAATAATAAATATAATGATTTACATTTTATTTTTCATTATCATCACTAACAATCACATACACATTATACACATAATTTATTATATTGTGCAGTTCTTAAATCTATCGCTGGTCTTCTTGAACATCCTAATCCCGACGATGCTTTAGTAGGGCCTATTGCTGAGATTTATAATACAAATAGGTCAAAGTTTGATAAAACTGCCAAGGATTTTGTGAAAAAGGTATTTCTTCCAGACTTGTCATTCTTTATTTTCATTTAATTTTTGAATTTTTTTACTAATTGTGTTTATTTCAAAATAATAAAGTATGCATCATCATAGATTAGAACTATTATTTCTCAACTGTGTGACTAGACTAGTATTTTACATTTTTTCTTTTTTAGATTATATTATTAATATTTACTACCGTGTAGTGTAACTTTTACTGTTGCACAGCCAATGCTTGAAATTTAGAATTTTAATAATAAATAAATTTTTATTAAAAGATTTATTATCAGTTAATTGTCGTCGTTAAATTCAGTGCCTTACTATCACATAAAATTCGTTAATTGATTGGTGTATTTGTATACCAAATTTGTATTATGCAACACAATCCGTACTGATCATATCTTTGAACCTTTACAAAAAACTCTCTGATATGTGTGTTTGGAAATACAATCATGGAAGGATTATCCCACAGCTTGCTTGGTTACTGAGCCTTTACATTTTAAAGTTTATCTAACACTAAATTTCCATTGTTTATAGTAAAATCAATAAAATTGATAACTCTGATTGAACCTTTACTAAAAAAAAACTCTCTGACAGGCTATTAATTGAGCGTTTGCAAATACAATTGCAGAAAGATTTTTCTTCCAGCTTGCTTGGTTATCGAGCCTTTACATTTTAAAGTTTATCTAAATCTTTGAATTCCTTTTTATTTAATTAATCAACATCCGCATACACATCACTATGTATATTAATAGTTATGTATAAAAATATCCAATTTTTGTCACTTCACATTCGTTTCCTCCTTTTCCTGGTATCATTAGAATAAAACATAAAAAAATTTCAATATTTTTATAGTAATATCTATTATATTTTAATTTAATTAATTTTAATAAATGGATCTTACAATTATAGAGTTTAACCCTTGTTCTTGATAACGTTTAAAGAAGGTTTTACGAAAACTACAAGGACAACTGCCGAATTTTTTTTTTTATAGGTCTATGGGCCGAATCTCAAAGATCATTTTCATATTAGGAAGTGATACCCTCGGAGCATTCAAATAAATTCGCGGCCATATTTGGCCTCATGACCGTTTAAGGGATAAATAATTAACAATATGTTGATAAAGCTGGCACGCCTAGTAATTTTGCTACTACTACCAATAAACCATTAACGATGTGTTACGACTCAGCAGCATTAGAGATAAGAATATTAGTACAAATGAAAATATGATGTTCTAAATAACAATTAAAATTCACTGCTGTAGAAATTTGAAGACACGCGTGATAATTCTTGAATCAATAACAGGAGAATTATAAGGTGATGATGTCTTTTTTTTATAAAAGTTTATGCATGGATTTGTCGGATGTGTTCTGATTGGTCGAATCCATCTCTCTAAAATAATGATTTAATTCATTATATTTTCTAATAATTAGAAAAAATGTCAGATTCTCCAGTAAGCTATTATCCAAATACTTCCAAAAGCAAAAAAGGTTTGTAAAAGAAAGAAATAAAAAAATATGTATGTTATATTTATGTAATTTTATTTTACTACTAACAATAATGATAATGATAATAATAAACAGAAAAAAATTATTATTTCAAGCAACAAAAAAATGTTGCAAAAATTGAGCCAAATATGTCTGGGGTTTTTATAAACTGTGTAAAAAATAATGAAGCACTATGTGTGAGAGAATATTATGACTTGTTCAATGAGGTATTTATGCTACCAATTTATTATCTCATAATAGACTATTTTTGAGTTTCCCAATAGTTTAACAAAAAAATATTTTAAATAGTATGCTGGTAAATTTTTTCTATTGCAAGCTATAAACACTACTGATTCTGCTAATAAGAATGTTGGTGATGATAATGATGATAATTTGGACATTGAAGATATAATTGCAAAAGAACTTTCAGAAATGAAAAAGCCACACTCTTCTAATAGTTTTGCTTCAATTCAAACTAGAACTGATTGTGGTATGTATTAATTACACTCTTTAATAATACTACTATTATTATAACCATTAGATAAAAATAATTCATTGTTATTATTATTGAATCATAAATAATTGTATTCATTCAAACTAATCCATCAATTGATCCAACAAATATGGTTTATAATATTTTGGATGATTTAAATAATTTGGGAGAAAAGAAAACTAGGTAATAAACATTTTATTATTTGAAAACAAAAAATTATTAATAACTATCTCTTCATTTTAAAGATTCCCTAAAGATTAATTCCAATAACACAAACATGTTATGCAAATACCAATGATATACAAACATGGCTCAATTAATATTAAAATCCAATTTTTAATAATACACAAAAATTTCAGGTATGCACATTCAATTGTGTAGTGTGCACATGTGTGTATGTACAAGTAAATCAAATATTTATTTTATTGTGATGTTAGTATGCAATAGTACCTAATACTCGAAATAATAATAAGGTAGATAAAAAAGAGTTGATTAACATGATTGCTAAAATTGTTGGTGAAGGTCATACAGTCAATCGAATTGACAATCATTGTTGAGATTTTCAAGGTAATTGATTGATTGATCAATCAGATTAGAATAATAGCATTATATGTCATTAATATATACTATAATTTATATATTTATTTATGATAGAATATATGTGGTATGAGTGTACTTAAAGATTATAACAAATTGAAAAAATATAATCTGGAAAAGATTTTTGAGGAACATATAGGCAATAATAATAAAATTAAAGAATAAGTCAACAAAAAATCAAATAAATTTACTAATTTTTATTATTATTTGTTAACAACACATTTATTTGTTTAGAAATACCAACCAAACAAACAAAACCCAAGTCACTCACTGACCATCTATCTATATATTTGATTTGTTGGATAAATTCCATGTTTCCAACTTCCTAATACTAAATATTAAATTTGCCACTTTTCAACTGATCTTGTGATCCTGAACCATTATCACCACCATTGGAATGAGCATCTTCTTCATCTGATCCATATGGTACATTTGGATCAGTTGATTTTAGTGCATATCTTTGCAGCCATGCATCTTCAGACCAAACTATTTTATGATATATGTGAATTTATGCATATAATTTCAAAATTTTAACAAATGCTTGTATAATAATAATTATTTATTACCTGCTCATGTACTTCCTTCTCTGATTTTCATTGGTCTAGCCAAATTAACTTTAATCACTTTACCATAAAGTTCCGAAAGGTTCATATTATCAATGGCAGCTTGTGCATCACCTGCTTCCTCAAATTCTACAAATCCAAATCCACGATGTTGATTATCTATTATGTTTTTTTTTTTTGAGGGAGGTAGGAAGAACAAAGAAAGAGGAGAAAAAAGTTAATGATGTACTTTGATCAAATTATCATTGATTTTAAAATAATAATCAAGAACTTGTTTTTTTTTATAAAAAAAAAGTTATTAAGCACTTAGTTAGTTAGTTACGTGATGCTGGATCTGGAGGAATTTGTATTTCTACAATGTCACCAAATGGTAATAAAAGCTGCATGAAGTATTTCCTCATTAACTTGATCATCTAAACCACCTTAAAAATATAATAATAGTGTAAATGAATATTATTGCTTATTAAATTTTATTTTTTTTAACTTACCAACATAAATTGTAGTTTTGCTCGTATTGTCTTTTACAAATGCTGACATTTTTTTTATTGATAAAAAAACTTCGATTAGTTTCTAAACAAGGGAAAGATTTCATTCAAAGATTGACAGATGATCTCCAATTATACAATTCGAAAAAAAATTTTAAATAATCATTAATTCTATTAATATACTATATTTAATTTAATAGAAAATAATTTATTTGCAACAAAAATCGAGAACATTAAAAGATAAAATTGAACTAGACCCAATTAAGTTTTCTGAAATGATTGAACATTTGATTTGAGGCTTCATGGGTTTTTTGATGAAATGGTAGATGCTCTAATTCCAGAGAGAACAGATAAATAATAAGGAAGCTGCTAAAAGGTCTATTGTAATATTTTGTTATTTGTTAGTTGGACCACAAAATAAGTTTACCAATTCTATAAAACTTGATCTTGGACTATACCTTGCTGGGTCAGGAACAAGTAGTGATGCAATTGACATGCTATCAAGAATTGGAATAACAACTTCATACAAAACTATTGAAAACTACAAAAAACAGCTTGCAAATACTCACCCCCAAAAAATAAATGAGTATTTTACTATAAATGTAAATTAATTTCATTCTACTATGGGTTGATTCTTTAAAATAAATTATTAAACATACATCATTTCCTTTAGACAGATTCTTTTCTTTATTCTGTTTTAACATTGATGATTATCATTCCATTCATGGATGGAGGGTGCCTAATACTACAACACTTTCAACAGCAAATCATATAGCTACCTGTAGTTCATGATAATGTATTTATCCATAACCCTTTAAATATTGAAGCCTCAAGAATAAACCATCATTTATTAAATGAATTCAAGGGGTGGTTGACATTAGTTATAATATGCATAAGGCAAAATGGATTACAGAAAATCCACAAAATTTTAATGAATTTAATAGAATTGGTCTTCTTCTTGTTCATTTTTATGATGCTTCAATTTTAGAAAGACATCATGAAAGATCCATGAAAGGTGTTTGTATTGTTGAGGTACAAGAAAGAAATCTGCATTCTCTAGATGATTATGTTAAAGTTCTTTTATCAATTAGTAAAATAGAAGTGTTTCAGAATATTTGAAAAATAATATAATACCTGTTTCTGCTGACTGGCCAGGTCAATTATTTATCAGAAAAGCAATAACTAAAATTCAACAACAGGAAATGCAAGGCAACTTTGATAATTATAATATTATCAAAAATTTTGTTCCATTAATAGGACCACTACATGTGTCCTTGAATTCAAGAGAACATATTATAAAAATACATTGGGAATTTTTTAATAAACTATTTCATTATATTTTGGACCCAAAAAATTCTAGCAAAAAAACCCAATCCTTGGAGGATCAACCTTCTATTAGACCTTGCAGATAAAGGGTGGAAGAAAATTTCACATATTGTTGTAAATAAATTTCCTAAAACTTGCAAAGACATAGAATATAGATTAATGCTTGATTTATTAGATAACCTAATATCATCTACATTAGACATCTATGCTCTTTTATTTAGATCTGGCTCATTTGATGAATATTTAGAAACACTTTTTCGTATCTGGACTTTTGCACTAAGATGGAATCAAAAAAATTATAATAAAGCTCCCTTGGCATTCATTTCAGACTATACTATTGGAAAGACAACAGTCATCCTTTAGTGAAGTAATAAAATCATATATTGTTAATTTTAATGATTATTATGTAGAAAATGTTCATAGCCAAATAAGAGCAAATACAACCTCCTTATATTCAGCAGAGGAAATTATTAAGCAAGCATATCTACTTGATCTTCATGATCAATCAACAATAAATACTTTAAAAAGGCTCACAATTACCCTTATTCTGAACCAAATTTAGAATATTTAACTACAAAAGCCTAAAAAAATACTTACAGATTAACAACATTAGGTAAAAATGTAGAGTTAAAATGTCTTCCTGCTGGTTACCATACATCTTTTCCACCAGATCCTAAACTATGTGATAAATGCAAAAGAACTTTCGAAGGTGATGAAGGAATAATACTTATATGTGGACATGGATATCATATAAATTGTTATGATATATTATACAAAAGATGTAAATATTGCAAAGAATATTACAAGAGAGGGATTTTCAAAAATGTTGATTCATTTGTTGAAAGATTAGAAAAAGGTCCAAATATTTTGACGAATGAAGATGTTGAAGGAGAAGGAGAAGGAGAAGGAGATAGTATTAATGTAAATTCTGAAGTGGGTTTAAATGTACATCTAAATAGAGAACTCGGTTTAGTAAAATATTGGTAAACCATCCTGTTAATTTATAATTATCTTAATATATATTTTATAAAAATAGTATGTAATCAAATTATATATCTATAAATACTTTTAATTATTACATAATTATACCCTTTAATAAATGATTATTGCTGTGTCTGTAATGCCATAGTTAAATTTTTGTTTCTAATACAACCTATTGAAATCCACTTGATCGACTTGATCGGAATGTAAAGAAAAGTTGAAAATATACAATACAACATCAAAACTTTAACTTGACATGACTCTTGTTACACTGAAATTATTCAACATGGTTTGATAGCTTTTAACTATATAGAATAATCGATTCACGTTGATTTTTTTTTAAAAGTTACACGAAAATTTCTCGTCAATTTTATTTTGGAGGTACAGTAAGGTAAATTTCTTATTGCAAAATATTATTTGGGTGTATGAATGCGAAATTACGTTCAATTTACACTGCCAATTGCTGGCTTGCATGTTAATTATAGATGAAAATATTTCACCAACAATGGTGTGGGATAAATTTTTGTGATGAAAGAATCATTCTTTTTTATTTTCGTCGAATTTGTAAATAAAAGCACCATTTTTATTACTTTAACAAAATTTTATAACAAAAACACATACTATTAAACCTAAATAACCTAAAATTCTTTTCCATGTAAATTTTCTTTCAGTGACATTGATCAAACCAAAATGATCAATTATTTGACTACAAACAAAAATGCTTACAACTACCCTTACACCTAATCTTAGAGCCAACTATAATAAATGATGTAACAAATATGCTCCAAGTATTCCGCATAAATTGGTGCATTTAAAATTCAATTCAATCATTATTATTATAAATATTAATATTGTTAATTGATTTTTTCTTTTCCTTAAGGTAGATGGTGAAAAGACAGAAGGGCTTGCTTTCGAAAAATTTGGAAATTTTCCTTTAGTATCAACTAAAAAATATATCGCAACATCTAAATGATTTATTTATATAATCAACTCATTAAATATTGAAAGGTGTTGAATAAAAAGATCAGAAAAGTTAATATAGAAGAGTATTCCAGTCAAAAATGATACAAGTGAAGAACAATATTATTATTACATATAATGATCAATCATGTATATATGCATTAAAGAAAAAACCTACTTGGAAAGCTGATGCAATTCCTGCAAGAATATCAAGAAATAGAAATTATCTAATAATTGCGTTGTCTTTTTGAAACAAGCAAAATTTTCAAAAAAAAATAGCTTTATTTGATCATATATTATACATATAAATACTAATAAAATTATTTTTAAAAATATTGGTATCTAATAAATATATTTTTTAATTCATCATCAATCATCATTCGTATTTGTTATCCTAATTTCTTGTCATTATCATTTTCATTGTCAGCAGTAATTTCTTGATTTGGTACAACTTCACCTTTAGTAGTATCAATAATTCCTTCTTCAATCGATAAAACATCAGCATCACCACATATTTTCAAAGCATCTTCTGCTTCTTCAACCGACATTTCTCCTAAAACTTCATTAATCTTGGTTATTTCGCCTGTTTTAAGTGCTTCTTGAAGATTTTTTGGTAGTGTTGTGAAAATTTTATATTTGTCTTGTTCACTCTTATCGGTTGAGTTTTCATCAGGAACTCGAACATTAAGTGAAGAATTTGGTCCAGTAACTTCAATTTGAATTTGTTCTGCTTGACGAGAGGATGGTTGTGGTTTTTGTGTTTTCTCTGCTGCTATAATTTTACAACGTTCCCTTATGTGGTTGTATGTTTCATTAACATCATTCATAAAAATTTCACGTGCTTGAGGATTTGGTCCATTTATTCTACACAAATACACACAAATATATTTATAAAAATTAATGGGTCAAAATCAAAAAAAATCTTGGAATTATTAAAGTATACCTTTCAAAGAAAAGTCTAACGCCATCTTTGCCCAATCTTTGGCAATATTGTAATAACCATCCTTGATGTGCACATTGTTTAGCTAATTTGGCTTTTCCTTTTAATTGAGCTTGGAACGCTTCAGCCAAAATTTGATCAGTCATTTCCTGTGAAACAACTTCTGGATGTTTGGTTATAAACTCATAACTCATTTTATAATCTTTTATTTCTGCAAATTGTTTAGCAAGTTCTGTAACTTCAATGTCACCAGATTCTTCTTCTTCATCCACATCTTTTTTTGTAGTTGTTGATTTATTCTTTATAACAGTAAGATATATATATGTGTGTGTGTGTGTGAATTTATAATAATGATGATATTATTATTTATACATTTTTTTTTATATTGAAAACTTACTTCATCACCAAATTGTTTTATTTGAGCATTAGGATTTAAAACTTCAACAACCTTTTCGGATTTCTTTTTTGAACTAGGCAATTCTGGTCTTTTAGTTTTATTAACAGACTAAAATTTCAATTAATTAATTAATTTATTGAAAAAAACAACTTGAAAAAATATTAATTAAATTATAATTTATTTAAATATACGAGCTTACAGTTTTATCAAATCCAGTGTGTAAATCATCCACTGTGATTTTCTTTCTTGCTTCTCTTTCTTCATGATCTAATTCTTTTTTAATTCCTTTTTGTGTTTGATTTAATTTATCACGATGAGCAGTTAATTTTACAATTAACGAATCACTAATTGATTCCGATTCAGGATCTTCATCTTTAACTTCTTTTTGAACTGTTTCAAATAAAACAGCTATCATTTGATCAACTGTTGGAGGTTTATCGCCACCTTCGCCTTCAACTTCACCTTCACCTTCGCCTTCTTTCTTCTTTTTATCTTTTAATCCTTCTTTCAATAATTCTTTATTAGCCTCACGAAATTGTTGAACGGTGTTTATAAATGGTTGCACACCTTCTTTTTTTAACTTAACAATCATATCATCAATACGTGAAAGCAAAACATCATTTAGTGATATTTGCTGTTTCAAAGAAGCAATTTTTTGTCGTCTTTCTTCACGTTTAGCATGAATATCCGCTTGTTTCCAACGTATTAATGATGCTTTATCAACATTTGGATGACATTCTATCTCGTCATCGTCACTAAGTTCTAACTTATCCCATTTACTATAATCGATTGGCATGGTTTCTCAAGCAAAAAATAAATGTTTATATGTGTGCCGCAACAAAATGATTATATGCTGGCTGATCCGTTTATTCTAGTACAATCTCTATTATTCTAGTACAATCCTTATTATTATAGTATTTTTGTCCTACTATATAATTGTTTTGAAGTACCAAGTATCCAAGTACGTAACAAATTTACAATTTATTTTTCAAATAATCAAATAATCAAATAATCAAATAATCAAATAATCAAATAAAAAAACCATTAAAAAATAATCACAATAGCAAATAATCATACATGTCTAATTTTTGGGGGGACAAGTTATTTAAAATGCATGAGCATTGATTATGGGCACCTTTGTTTTTTGCTGGGCTAGAATTAGTATCATGTTGATAATTCATATTCAACAAGGTGTTTTTCTTCATGCGCCGTTGTTCAGTTTCAAGAATCATCTCCTAAAATAATATAAATGAGAGATCATTTGAAACAAGCATGCACAGTAATCGAGATGTACTAAGATTCTTACCTTTAATTCATAACACCTTTCCACGACATTGAGGATTACAATGAATTCTGCAGCTTCAGCAGGAAGGATCAATTCTACCAAGGATGCAAATTAATATAGTTATCATGCTCTAATGAGATTACCTAAAATCCAATTCTAGTTCCCAAACATAAACATATAATCAACATATTGCTTATCAATATGGGACCAGCCTTGGTAACTTAACATTCACAATCACACCATATGTTTCACCATGGACTCCTGTATCCAGTGCATCTTTCATGAAGGTTGCCAATTTGATAAGCGCTTGATTTGTAACAGCCCTACAATTTGCTGTTATTGGCGGTTTAGCTTCACCAAACAAAATCTCACTACCATGTTTACATAGCAGACGAAAATCTGGTTTTTTCCCATATATAACACCCTCTTTTGTATATCGAGCCTTGGATGAAATGCTTCACCATTTGCCCTGAAAATTAAATTCAAAAAGCATAAATGGATTAATTCGTAGATGTCTTTATGTAAGCATTCATCATAAGATAATATTGTGAAACATACCATACAAGTTGCATAGTTCCAAAATCATATGACAGATTTTGTGGATGTAAGTTGTAAAAGGTACATAGGCACTATATTGTTAATATATACAATAATATTGATTATCATAAAATATTTAAAGTTTACTTACAAATTACGTGCAATAAGTTGCATTGAATCAAATATTTTTTTGTCTTCTTGATTCTCCATTATCCATATCTTACTCCAATTTTGTCTCCACAATTCTTCTAATTCTGTTATTTCATTATTCATTAAATGTTTACAATAAACAGATGTAATCAATGTCTTGAGCAATAGTGATCCATATAACGTGTAAAAACTTAAATTATTTACCTGTGTATATGAGCAAATAACATTCTGGAAAAGTGGTGGCATCCTAAATTTATATACAATATGCGGAAATGAAGCCTGCCACTTCTTATCAGCGCATGAAATGTAAATTGGCTTTCGATTTTTTCTTAACATCATAATACTTGATTATAAGTGCAAATGATATGTGGAATCCATTGAAGATACAATAGTTATCATATCAAGTACTAAAAACCTACAGTATGGATTCAACATCAGTTCTGTAGCTCAAAGCTGGATCAATTTTCAAATTTCCAATAACTGAGATCTGGAATTGTCGAAACTCTTTAGAGAAATTGTGTCCTTCATATGTCCACTAAAATATGAAAAAAAGTCAGAAAAATATAAAATAAAATCGATCATTTATATATGAATATACATCCTTCAAAGAATTTTCTTATATTTTCATTTTTGGTACATGATCCATGTAAAAATATGCTTAAGTCCATCTAATCAATTTATTAAAATATGTGAAAATTTAGCACATATTATTTAATGATGAAACCAAGCAATTGTTATTACCCTTACCATATTTTCAATTTTACTATTGTCATTCGATTCTAAGTTAATTATAAATGAATCTGAATCCTTATTACTAACTGTATCTTTGTCAGTAACAATGTCTAGTTTGTTCTCATCGTCCCTCTCTCTCCATCATCATCTCTTTTGCGTTTCCAATGATTGCATCTGTTATATCATCCAATCCTTTTGACATAGCAGTATGATCTATGGATTAGTTGTTGCGCATTAATATATTGCACTATAGTACTAAAATCATCCATATATTATGAACAAAAGAGTACTTCTGCTTTTGCTGAATATCAATTTTATTTTCCTGCATTAAATTCTCTCGTTGAGTGCGTTCAGCAAGCTTCTCAGCCAAGTCAATGAAATAAGTTTTTTTCTGTTTCTGTAATATAATAATTAATTAGTTATGACAAATCTAGAAGGGGAATCTACTAGTGAAAGCTTAGTTTGACGGCTTTCCTTAGCTTTGCTGCATAATTTATCACGTATCTTGGACAACTGCCATTTTGGTTACAAAAGGATGTATACAATTGTTGCGGTGTAATAATTGGATTGAACTTTAACATGACAATTATATAGGCATCAAAAATGTGCCATTAATATGATGTTACACGTAAAATTTTAAACGCGTAAGCAATTTTAACTAATACTAAATAATCTAATATTTTAAAAAAATACTTATTTATTTAGAATACAAATATAATAACAGCTTTACTATTTCCACTACAATTGTCAAGTAAAGACTATGTATAGATGATAATAATAATCTATTGACAACACAAATTAATTACGTGAACTGAAATCTCACTTTGACCAACCATGATATATCACAAAAAACTATCAGAAAATCAAATATCGAGTCACTCCTTCACCTTTCTTTTCTGCCTTTCCATGAGAATCATGCAAATGCCCGGCCCTTTACACTGTCCCTATGCTGAGGAACTGAGAAATCACTCCAAAGTTTATGGACTCATGAATTGATTCCGGGAGGTGGATCATCTTTGTGCAGACAAAGACATTTATTATTAAACAATTGCTTTGCAAACTAATTCAGAAATTCGGAAGTAATAAATATAAACTGTTTTTTAAAAAAAATTGTATTTAAATAAAAAATTGTTATGTTTGTTTTGTGTAATAATTATTAATATAAACAATTATATAGAAAATGTCAATGGTAGTGAAAAGGCAACATGGTTGTTGAAGAAGGGTGAACTAATCTAGGAAATTTGAAAATACTAATACTAATGATGAGACATTTCAATATCCAAAATACTACGTTGTTCTCATTTTTATGATATACATAAATTTAATCTAACCTCTCTGTGATGATACAATGATGCAATTAAACTCTAGCGGAGGAATGGTCAGTTTATAGAGATTGCATTGTTGTCAAGGGTGCATCTGTGAATCCTAATATTTCTGAAGTACTGTATTAGCATTATTTTGTTAAAATCTTTTTATTATTATAAACGTTTTCTCGTATAAATGTTGCCAACAACTTTCCACAGAGAATTCTGGAAGTCTTACAATATGAAAAAAGACATAAGATGAATTAGGATCCATGGGAGTAAACATCAATGATAGCATAGGCTAAGAATTGATTGTATGTATTTGTTCGTACTTAAAGTTTTTATCATATTATTGTATAAATACATAAAAAACCGCTGGGGTTTTTGGGTTGAGTTTAGCCATTTCTGTATATATAATCCATAGGGATGATATTAGTATATGATAATAACATGAGCATGGTGGACATCCCATTTGTTGCACGAAATCATAAAATGTTATAGTCACTCCCGTTATAAGGACGCTCATTTAGTGACAATCTCAAAAACAAATTTTATAATATAAATTTACACCCGTTATAATGACATTCACTACATATCCCATTAACGAGTATAAGGACATAAAATTTGACAAAAAAAATTTTTATAATTGTTCCGTTATAAGGACATGTCAGTATAACGAGAGAACCAATCAAATTACACCGATCACCATGACAAATTTATTAATACGTATCAGTATGCCCTGACCAAGTAACTTGCACTACATAATTCTAAAAAATAAAATGTCTCAATCCTCTCGGATGTCGATATACTCTTCTTCCAATGATACACGTCTAGTTAGACGTGTTTCAATTGTGGATAGAAATTTGAATAAAACAAGAGGAACTGAGGTTAAATAAAATAAAAGCTTTATGAAAAGAATCAAATCGATTTATACAATTAATTACTTACAGTACACAATGTATATATGTTTATAGGTGAGTTTGAGCGCATTTGCATTCTTATTTTCAGAAATGTTACAGTATGCACAAAAACATGTACTCGCAATCCAGGATCTTGAACGAAAGTAAACTTTGAGATTATTTATTAATATGGATTTTTATATTATTTCCATGAATAAATAAATTTAATTGATTATTACACATGCATATTTTACAGATTAAATGATTTTGGATATCGTGTGGGAACTCGTTTATTGGAGTTGATTGTATTCAGAGAAAAAAATAGTAAAAGAGAAACACGTGTTTTAGGAATATTATATTTTATACATACAACAGTATGGAAAACACTTTTTGGAAAACAGGCAGATTCTTTAGAGAAAAGTACAGAACATGAAGATCAATGTATGTATTTGTATATATGTGTGTGTGTGTATGTGCGTGTTAGTTATTAAATTCCTATATTTACAATTATTAGTTGTGATTAATTATTTTACTTTTTAATAATAGATATGATATCAGATAATGACCCAGTTATAAATAAGTATATTTCAGTTCCAAAGGAGATATCGCATCTTAATTGTAATGCATTTTTAGCAGGGATCGTTGAAGCGATTTTGGATGGTGCACAATTTGTAAGTAATCATATCATAAATGGTGAATTAGGAATCAGAATTGGGAATTGAGAGTTGGATAATAAATGAATTAATTACTTATTACTATGAATCTTCGGTCTGATTTTTATTACAGCCATCTCGAGTAACTGCTCATTCAGTACCAATAGAAGGCTTTCCATTACGCACAACTATATTAATTCAATTAGATAAAGAAGTTTTGAAAAGAGAGGAACAATTCAACTGATATTATATCATTTAATTATATATATACATATATATACACATTTATAGAATATATAAAAGAAAATTTTTCTTGGAATCACATCTATTTCTTCCCTTAGATTATAGAATCAGAAAAGTTTTAATAATCTATAATGTATTATTAACCAAAAAAAATCTTGTGATTTAAAATTTTTAAAATGTTTATAAATTATTATAAAGTCGCTGGTAATAAAATCTATTTTATTAAAAAAAATCACATAACACATCAATCACTTAAATATTAATTAACATTAACAATAGATTTATAAAGAAAATTAACAAAACATGAAGTTTTGTCATGTGTGGTTACAAAACAATTAGATTGCTTCATATTGACAAAGTTTCAATTTTATTTTATTAATATTCTTTATTGAGAAAAAGAATTTTATAATTAAAAGCATATTAACAAATTAATATATATAAATATAAATTTATTTTTATATCTGTTTCTTTTCAATTATTGCTTTTATCATATCTGTTGAAATGTTTGCTCCATTTCTTACCAAATATTCAGCCAAATGCCAATTTCCATTTTTAATAGCTATATTGACATCATTAGCACTTGGTTTGCCACCATTTTCAATCAAAAGATTTATAATAGAGAATCTATTAGATTTTACACATATGGTAATAGCTGTGCCTGATTTAACATTTGGATTTGCACCATATTCCAATAACAACTTTATCATATCTTCTTTACCTACAGCTACCGACTTTATGATTGGGTAACCATCAGGCTCATCTGGTGATGCTTTTCTATCTAATAATATTTTTGTTAATTCTATTAATTTTCCTTCTGGATCCGGCAATGAAAAAAATCTATGTGGGATTAGTTGATTTTTGTATGGTATGAAAGTTGGTGGTAATGAATTTTCATGATGATTATTTTTTAGATATTGTTGCAAATATAATGCATCTAAATGAAATAATAATTCCTTATCAAAAAAATTGAATCTAATTCCTCTACGTAATGCTTTCAAATAATTTCCATTACTAATATTCATTAACCAACGGACCTTTAAACCAAGTGTCGGTTTGAAAAGTTGATGAAATTTCTTTGAAACTTGTGTGAATAATGGGTTGCGTGAAAGTATAAATATTAATTCTAACAATTCAAACGGAAGTTGTTCTAGTTTCGGTGAATTATTAGCATATAAAATTAACATGTTTTTATAAAAAGATTTTCAGAATTTATTCCATTAATGCTGGCCAGAGTTGGCAATGGACAATGTCCAATGACTTTTTCATTGGACCATTGGACATATGTGTCCAGGTCGTCCATTCAGGGGTAATTTTTGCGCAGCTTTGTTGGCAATGGACA